GCGTAGTACGCCTGGAATATCTTCCAGATGTAATATCTCACTTAACGACCAGGTCGTTGGAATGGAACCCCATCGCTAAGTGATGACTGGTTGTATATTAAAATAAGGGAAGAAAAATATTTACCATGAAATGGTAAGTCGAATTTTTTTTTTTTTAAAGAATTTTCGTTTTACCATTTTATTGTACATCTTTTAAAAATTTTTCTTCCCTTTACTTTTCATACATTTGTATGCATTATATAATAATTCTTCTATGTGCGGTGTCCTTACAGGACATTGGCGATCACGGCTCGCCACAACTTCCTCTTCTTTGTAGTTCTAAATGTTGTATTTTTGTTATTTCTCCTAAACCTTACTCCGCCATCCATTTTACACGTTTTCTCGTTAAGTTATACATTTCTTCCTCTGTCCTCTTGCCTTCAATCTGTCCTGTGAGTATCAAATTTTCCAAGTCCTCTTTCCTCATTATCTGTCCTAGAAATCTCAACTGTCTTTTCCTGATGTTATGTGTCAGTGTCCTATCTATTTTCTCTATAACTTCGCCGGTTACTGGTATTCTCCGCATCCTTCCGTAGAACCACATTTCTGTGTCTACTCTCTTTTACATCTGTGAGAAGATTGTCCCGCATTCGCTGTCATATAGGTGGAAAACAGTCCAGTAAAATGCTGCTTCTGTGTACTGCTTTCATTTATCTCTCTTGCATCCAGCATGTCCTGTGAGCATCAAATTTTCCAAGCCGTCTCTCCTCATTGTCTGCCCTAGAAAATTCAACAGTTTTTTTCTGAGGTTAAGTGTAACGCTTCTTTTCGTTCCCATTTTCTCTAAAACTTAATTGCTCACATGTTAGGTCTATGGTACTTTCAATATCCCGTCCTGGGTATGACGGTAAACTACATCCGCGTCCTGCGAAAGACGATAAATTACGCCCAGCAGCAAGGTCTCTGATCAGGAGGTTTTGAGGAGCGTGTTCCCAGGTCCACCCTGACCCGGGGTAGTAAGCACCTGTTAGGGACCCAGCTATGGGTAAATAGTTAACCACCCCCTACCAGACTGAGGTCAAAATACTATGAAAGTGTAAAAATAGGTTTTAATGCCAGAAATAATTAAAAAAATATAAATATTACCAGCAATACATTTTTGGAAAAAAAAATATTACCAGCAATAAAAATCTGTCGGCATTAAATAACCCATTCAGATTGATATGCCGTAAAACAAATCAAACCAAACCAAACTTTCGATATCCTTCTATGGAACCACTTTTCAATTGCTTCAAGTGTCATCTGTGATTAGATTCTCAAGGATTCACTGCTATATACGAAGAATGATATTACATAACAGTTTAGTACTTCTGTCTTTGTTTCTAATAAAATTTTCCCGTTTCTTGTTACTTTGCTAAGCTTTTGTAAGGCATCTTTCGCTATTCTAATGAGTCTTCGGATTTCAGTGTCTCACTTTCCGTTCTCTGTTAAAAAAAAGTTATATACATTTTAATTTCTTCATTTTTGTAGCTATAATAAAATTTTGTGCCGTCCATTAATAATTACGAGACATAGAGAAGAACTATATTTGGTTTTGCTTTTAGTGCCGAAGATGTGTGTGTACTGACTGATTCCTCTTTATTTAGAAGATAAATACATAGGTAGAAGATTATCTGTCCAAAGACAGTGGTAAATACTTCGAAGAATAAGTCAGCTGCCCTTCGTTGCAGTTCTGTCAGCTTCAAGATGATTCTTCCGTAAGTGATTCTTATCCGGCTTAAAATTCTTCACTGACAGCCAGACTACAAACGTGACCAGAACTTGCCTATTTATAGTAGTGACTGGTGACAGCTAACCGGCTGAAAGGATTGGCAGTAAACAAAATTTAACCATGACACAGATCAGGAATGGTCGCATCAAGCAGAGGATTACCTTCAATGACCTGCCTATATTTAGCGAGTGTTTATCAAGAGATTTCATCTAGGTACATTAACAAGTAAAATGAGAGGAAAAAACTGAAATCTACGTATATTAAATAACAGGATTAATACAAATAAAATTTGTTAGTGATTGATGTTATAGTCAGCACCTTGCCTCCAGAGTTTCGTAGACGAAATTTTACGTAATTGTTCAGAGGGTTTCTGCAATAATTTCTGCAATGTTATTCAAAAATATAACCAGTAGCGTAACCTCATTGATAGAGTTTCGCGTCAAATCACTCGTTAGGGATAGATGTTCGATTAATTAAATTATAAGGTCTCATATCTATCAGAGTTCAAAACTGAGTTTCGTAATTTCACACTCATCAAGATTTTCGATAATAATTAGATTAAACGATAAACTGAAATTGGTTCAAATATTTGGTGACTTTACAAAAAAATGCACTTTGATAGAATTAGGTAATAAGGTATACTAATTGACATTTAATGCATTTCTCAACAGAAAGAAATATTCCTGAAGTCTTCATATTAAGAAGTGTAACGAAATTGATGCTTTTACAAGTAGAAAAAACGTAATATTTAAGTTTATAAACACACTATTTGGTAGTGAATATAGTCAATATATATTTCAACTCTGCAAATTCTCCATTGTCTGTGGATAAAGGCGTTGATTAGATCCAGTGAGAGTTCAATACCTGGTTAAGGCAGTGGAGAACGTGAAGAGGTGAATTAACAGGAGACAACTAATATTTGACAGCCATTAGATATGACACGTGGAACTAGAACATTCTAACCCAGCGAGCGAAATAAAGTGTTCAGTTCGACATTCCAACCACCTGAAGAAGGTTGGAGCGTACAACGAGCGAAACGCTGTGATAAATATGACAACAAAGATGAGGGCAATAGTCCGAATAATGTAAATAGTGTACATAAAAGTAAAGTTTTGTCAAAATGCGCTACGAGTTTGAGCAGAATGTCATTAGAAGGTAGATTTGGATCCGCATACTTACAACTTGGTTAGATATCAAAGAATTTACATACATACGTTGAATAAAGAAAAGGAAATGAACCAAAATTAATGAAGGGACGAAGCAAAAATGGTAAAGAAAATATATTGAAGTTGAAGGCAACATTAATATTTAAGAAAGTGAAAGATTTTTTTAGTGATGTTCACCCTGAGGTCGTCCTGGGTAAGACGATAAACTAGATCCGCGTCCTGGGTTAGACGATAAACTACGCCCGACAGCAAGGCCTCTGATCAAGAGGTTTTGAGGAGCGTGGAGCCAACTCTTAATTGCTGGTGTTTCCAGGTCCACTCTGACCCGAGGTGTAGCACCTGTTAGGGTCCCAGCTATGGTTAAATAGTCAACCCCCAAACTGGGATCAAAACACAATGAAAGTGTAAAAATAAGTTTTAATACCAGAAATACTTTGTAAAATAATATTACCAGCAATACATTTTAGAAAAATAAAATATTAACAGCAATAAGAAATTTTGTCAGCATTAAATAATCCATTGACGTTGATATGCCGTAAATCAAAACAAAAAAAATCATCCTGAGGGTTACTCGATGTAAAGAGTTACAGGGTATGAGAAACGGTTAACCCTAGATTTGAACAGGTTAAGATTGTAGCGATCCGGGAAGCAAGTTCTTGAGAATTGGTTTCCCAAGACAGTGGTTCATGAGAAGCTGCTGCTTGAGTGGAACTTATATCTCACCAAGAGAATGAGGGTGGTTCGCTAAAATGTGCGTGGCATGGCGGAACTTAGCCACTAGGCTTCCAATGTCTGGTCTTTGAGAAGGGAGCTGTAAGGTGGAAAATAATTCGTCATTGAGAAGAACACGGTGACGATTTTTGACTCTATTGATGGAAATTGAAAACTGGGCAACTCCTGCCTCTATATATCAGCAATATTCAATTTTCAACTTGATCTGGCTCTTGCAAAGGTAGGGGATAAAAACAGGAGTGAGGTACTTGTTGTGTCGATACAGAGAACCGGCCATTTTCCGCCATTTTTAGTGATGTATTGTATGTACGTTAAGGCCTGGGATGAGTTTAATAAGAGCTCAAGACAAAGGGGTCACCGTCAGGGAACTTCTGTTCATCACGACTGTCGTGAGTTCTGGATCCGATTGGCGACGGTTTAAATGAACTAGTTTGGTTTTTGAAGCATTGACTGTGACAAGACAGTTTGTACCCACAAGGTTTGAGGAGAGATCAGCTCTGGTCGTCAAGAGTTTTGGGGGTGCGCTTTTATAGCGTTGTATCATCAGTATATATATTCACAAATGATCGGTATATGCTCTTCAGCGGATCATTTATGTAGAACAAAAGGAGTGGATTGAGAAGCGTTGATCGTCTGGGACCCATAGTAGTAGTCCTTAACAAATGCCTTCAGGTACCGACCCGTGAGGGAGGATTCTTAAATGAGAAGACTTACATAAAGAAGAATTTTTAAATTTTAAGACATCAAATTGTAAGATTTGGAAAACAACTTTATGTAGACTCAATTAAAGAAAGATAAATGTATGACAACAGAATTTAAAATCCGAATAAGAGAAATGGAAAGCAATTAAAGTTTTTTTTCTTAATTTAAGGCAGTAGATTTTAAAATTTCGAAAAGAATGGGAAGGAAAGTGAATGAAGGGGAAAAATGAATAAAGGTAAATGGAAAGCGTACAGGAAAGAAAAGAATGAAAAGATTTGGCAGAAGAAACATGTTAATCGAATGAAAATTCATCCGTAAAATTGAAAGGAATAAATAATCGATATTGACAGAAGAAACACTAAATAGTATTCGAAAGATAGTAAAAAATAATGATTACAATAAATGATTAATTCATTCATTTTTTACGGCTTATCAATCCTTTGCAGGTTATTTAAAGCCAGAAAATATTTTTACATTGTAAGAATAATGATTTTAGTGATTTACGTCTTACTAATTACCCCATAGCTAGTGGAGAAAAGAGATTAATTCATACCTTTCCTTTGAATATTTGTGTGAAGTGAATATAACGAACCGAACTAAGTAATTTCTTCCTCTTAGACATAAATTCGCCAAGTAACAATTATCCATTATAGCACCTGGGATTCCCAAGCGGTCACCCATCTAAGTACTCAACAGGCTTGACTTTGCCTAACTTCAGTGTTAGTACGGGAACCAATGTTTCAACTTCATGTGACCGTAATCTTATATTTTTATGTTGGTATGCTTTGGAGTTTAATAATATCGATAGATGTAAGGATACTTCAAAAAAGGTAAATGATTTCTCTCTCTCTCATGTCGATTAAGAAGAATTCTTGAAACATTTTGTTGTTGAAATTATTATTAACACTTCCACATATATTATGTTGGATGCTGATTTGAAGATCATTTTCAAGTCACCTCTCATTATTTGAGAATATAAAGAGATTTTTTCTTGGTTTTGTTTTTACTAATGTTCACCCAATACAAGGCCAAAGAGCCACTCAAGGTAGAGGGTTACTGGGTGGTCTTGTATTTAACAGCTAACTATCGACTTGAAGAAGTCAAGATTTAATTAAAAGTTCAAAGTTCAGTCGGAGATGTTAGAAATACAATGTGGATATAGATTTTAGAAGGAACCTGAAACCCAATGCTGAACAGTAAACAAGGTACAAACCTCTACTCCTGTTCAAAAGACTCGTGAGGTGTGTAAACCGGACGATAGGCGAATCTATTTATTAATCGTTCATTTGTTCTTTTCATTAACGTGCCGTTTCTTATTCTTTTCGATTTATAATGGCTCTTCCTACCAGGTAGGCATTTTGTAATTGTAGATTCATACCTTTCCTAAGGGTATTTTCGCGTAAGTGAATATGATAAACCCGACTAGAATTGGAACTGCTCCCCGATGTCCAACTCCTAGCCGTTATCAATTACACCACACGCACATGCAAGCTTGTAGAAGTTGGGATTCCCAAGCGGTCAGCCATCTAGGACGACGTTGCTTAACTGCGGTGATCGTATTGGATCCAGTGTTTCAATGTGATATAACCGTAATCCTTGATAGTAACAGAGAAGGCAAAAACTGACGGTGAAGAAAAAATTCAAAGACTCTATATATTGAGAAAATGCTGTAAAAATGTTAGAATTACAAAGAGAATGAAAAAAGAAAATAAAATAACAGAGAAAATAAAGACAGAAATAGAGACAAAAAGGTTGGTGGGGGGGGGGACATTGCCGTAATCAGTATTAAGGAAAAGCAAGAACCAAAGATAAAAGGATTAAAAAAAAAAAATGCGCGTCCGGGCGAATGTGTGTGTGTCACTGCCATGAAAGCTATGGGAAAAATCAGTTGAAAATGCTGAGGTGTCGCTTTCCCGCCATAAATTACTAGCGCGCTCATTACAACGATAGCTCTCACATTTTCACGTGTGACCGAACATGCAATTAACATGAAGGAGTTTTGTCTTCTACATTCTTCTTCTTCTTCTTTCTCTCTTTCATTGTTTTTCTTCTCGTCCTTACACGGTCGTTACAGCCGGCATCCGACGACATCGGACGAACGGACAAGCAAACGCGCAAAAAACGTACTCACCCACCCACGCACTTGCAATCGATAACCGGACTCCCGGGTCGTTTTTACGTGTTGTAGCCATGTTCGGGACGTTTTATTTATTTATTTATTTGTTGTAAGATTTCAGCGAAAGAGGAAGGAGATAGTATATTTGCTGAGAAGACCGCGTGTGATTTCATTTTATTTTATTTTATTTTTTTTGCTTTCTCTGTTTTTGTAACTCGAATTTCATTTGTTTATTCTTTTTCTTTCTAATGTTTTATCTTCCATTTGCATTTTCTTGTTTCCTCCTCTCTTTTATTTCTAACTTTATTTTTGCCTTGCCTGCATTTTTTTTTATTTTGTTATCGATACGTATTTTCGCTTTGTTACAAGGTCTTTTTTCTGTCTGTTTTTATTCATCAGTATCTTTACATCCACGTTGTGTGTTTCTCCGTGTCATTTTGACTTGAACTAATTTTATTTACTCGTGTTTTATCTTACCGACGTGATAGTCTTTTTAGAGTTTTCGTTTTCTGTATTCGTCATCCTTTTTTTTTTTAATGTACGCTCTCTCCTTTTTCTTCTTTATCCTTCAATTTTTTTCTCTTTCCGGTTTTTTTTCTTTCTTTCCGATTTCCATTCCTGTCATTTTCTTTTCTTTCTTTCACCAGATATTTTTCTTTGATTCTTCCTTTTCTCTTTTTTCTTTTTTCTCTTTTCTCTTTTTTCTCTTTTTCCCTTTTTCCCTTTTCCTCTTTTTCCCTTTTTCTCTTTTCTCTTTTTCTCTTTTTTCTCTTTTCCCCTTTTTCTCTTTTCCCCTTTCTCTCTTTTTTCCCTTTCTCTCTTTTTTCCCTTTACCCCTTTTTCTCTTTTTCCTCTTTTCACATTTCTCTCTCTTTCCCTTTTTCTCTTTTTCTCTTTTCGCCCTTTTCTCTTTTCCCCTTTTCCCCTTTCTCTCTTTTCGCCTTTTTCTCTTTTTCTCTTTCTCTCTTTTTCTCTTTTCCCCTTTTTCTCTTTTTCTCTTTTCCCCTTTTTCTCTTTTTCTCTTTTCCCCTTTTCTTTTTCTCTTTTCTCTTTTTCTCTTTTTTCTTTCTTCACTTTTTTCGACCTTTTATCATTTTTTGTCCGTTTTTCTTTTTGTTTATTCTTGCCTTTTTTTTACCGTTTTTTACCGTTTTTTCCGTTTACCATTTTCCTTTTGACTTTTTCTTTGATTCCTTTCTTCGATTCCTTTCTTCGTAATTTTTTTTCTTTTATTCTTTTCCACTCCTTCTTTTCTTTCTCTTCCTCATTCTTCTGCGCTGCCCCCTACTCTCATCTTTTCCTATTTCTTTCCTTTCTTTTTTCGTTTTCCTTCCTTTTTCATTTTTTCTTTCCTTTTTTTCCATCTTTCTCATTTCTTCATTGTTCTTTTGTTTTTTTTTTCTTGTATTTTTTTTTCATGCACCCTTTATATATTTTTTTCTTTTCTATCTCCATATTTTTTTTCTTTTTCTTTTTTTTTTTTCTTTATTTCTGGTCTGTTTCATTCTTTCCCCTGATTCTTCCATCTTTCTTTCTCTTTCTCTCTGTCCTCTGTAAATCTGACCGCATTTATATGGGGTTCGCTTTAATGATGACATGGGCAAATTACGAAGCCTAGAATTCCTTAAATATGCGCGTGTGTGCATGCGTGCGTTCTCACGCACTACATATCGGAAATGGATGCATGCGACCAAGCATTAATGATAAAATGGGCCACTGCGTCCATATCCTTCATACATGATTTGAGTGTGTGTGTGTGTGGTGGGGTATTTTTGTGGTGTTTCCAGTATTTAAGAAACTATTTTTAAACCTAGTTATATTATTATTACTATTATAATATCCTTTGTTGTTTATTTAGTACAATTTCTTACCGGGTCATTTCCCGAGGCCTGCGATAAAGCAAGTGCTTAAATATATGTATTCTGTTTGCACAAATTCTAATAAAATGTACAGTGTTTATATTTTCCTTACATTACCTCTCTTAGGTAGATAAGTAATTCTTAACACTACATAATTTTTTGAATCTCTTGTAAATAGAGGATACCGGATATCATGTTAATGTCACGCTCTCTCACATGTTTTATTGTCCTCAACATCCCAATTATTAGAGGTATGAGTAGGGCACCGCGGGGTGGTGTAATGGTTAACAAGCTTGTCTCGCTAGAACAATTACGACTGAGTAGTGAGTTCGATCCTCACTGGGTGCCCCATACACTTCGGCCTTGTGCCACATCTAAGCTACGCTTGGAAAATCGCTATTATAGGTATAATTGTAGTTTTAAGGTGACAGTTTTCAATTTTCTTGCATTTATTTTGCCATATTTTTCTAACGAATATATTTTCATCTGATGATGCTGCCATATTTTTGAGAAGTATTTTTCTTTATAGTCATTAGTCATAGTGTCTAGTCTATGCGTATGGTTAAATATTTCAGCTTTATCCTTCTAACGTCTCCGCTTATACTCAGAATTTATTTACATTTTTTCCACTCAAAGTGAGTAATCAGGCTCTCCTATCGTCCGGTTCATATCCTTCCTGGTTTATAGAACAGGAGTAGAGATTTATCCCTTGTTTCCTATGTAGAATTGGCTTTGTGACTCCTAAAATCTTTTCTTTCTCTTTCACTTTCAGAAGTCCATTCGATTTAGTAGTGTTATCATCTTGCATGGAGTGAATTGATTAAAAAAAAAAGCCGAAGAGTAGCGACCTTCCGCTTTATATGATGATATTCATTGTCGTATTTTTTCGATATGTGTCGCACTCTAATACTGACATATCTTCCCGTGAGTAAATACACTGCTCAAGCTTATATCGATATTATTATTACAGACCGGCAACTCCCATGGTCCGGGACTTTTCTTTTAATCAGTCGCCATTAGTTCGTTGAGCGGCTACGAGGACAACTTCACATGTTTTTTACAACTTTTCGTAGCAGCCGACAGCAGGAGAATGTTTTGGTGATACGGTCTTGCTCATTTTTTATATATATATAGCTGTATATTTGAACGTTTAGTATGCCACCGAAGAAAGCAGAAGGTGCTGCCAGAGGTAAGAAGCGTAAGAATAAATCGTTATCTACGCTTGGAAAGATGGAGTTACTGAAGAAATGGAACGTCAGCAACATATATATGGAATGAGCTGGCAAGACTCTGGTTACGTAGTGTTGCAGTCATCCGGCATTTTCTATCGTTCAATAAGGGCAGGGTCCGAAGGGTGCCACATTGGATTGTATTATTTTTACGGTAGTGTCGCACATTGACGTAATGAATGGAAATTCTGTTTTTGATGCATGGTGCCAACAAGGCTTCTCACGTCTCAGATAATTTTTGCTGAATCCTCGCAGAGTATATAATGGCAGTTTTCTGGAGGTCTACAATATTAGTTTCGCTTTTAATTTTCCCTAGGTGTTCTATCAATTTTCTAGGCGGTGATCCAAGAGCATCCATTACTACAAGAATTACTTCAATAGTAATGTTCCATAACTTATTCAATTCCCCAGACAGATCCTGGTATTTTTCAATTTTTTCAATTTCTTTTGAGTTTACTGTTCCTGAGCTAGAACAACAAAGTCCGGTGTTCGTGCTTCATTGCCATGATCTGTCTTGACCGAGAAATCGCATATCTTGTGACTACTATTTGCTA